TTGTATTGCACCAAGTAAATGCACACGCATGTAATGCAGAGCTCTCTGAAGTTGACCATTGTAAGCATGGGGTACTAAGCCAAAGCGAGCTAGGACTTTGTCATATTTATCACTAATTTTATTCAAAATGCTGATTTTACTTTTTTCTTCTTTCAGAAGCAACTGGTGGCAGAATGCGATGCAGCTCATTTTTAGTTGTTGTGGCCAGGGAACATATATAAACATGGAAGCAGAGATAAATTATCTGGAAGGGTTGTATAGAGAAAACCATCACCTTTCACTGAAAGATGTTTATTATTTTTTATCTATATGCCGTTCTTTGCTCAACAATAAAATCTGTGAAATACAATGATAGATCATAAAATAATTAAACTGTAAACACATACAGTCAGTTAAAACTGCTTTTTCCTACTTCTTCCTTCTAAGAAAGAAAAAAAAGCTCATAATTTTCAATGACGGCTAAGTTGTGTAAAACACAGCAGGGTTAGAACTGAGCACAAGAGATAAGTGTGTGTTGGGGGAGCTTATAATGTTACCATCACAAAAAAATGAGTATTGCTATGATAGTATGTTTCAAGGCTTCTGTGGCTGTCAACATGAATAAGGTCAAGGTAAATATGTGCATGACCAAATTTTAGTGCTCAGACTTGGATATTTCTGGGCTAACTTCATTTTTTTATTCTTTTTTTTCCTTCTCTCCCTCATGTTTTATATTGCTGTAAATCCCTGGAAGACTACCATATTGGCATAATGGAGTACAGGGTGGGTTCACCCAATGTTCCTAATGGTTTAAGGTACAATCCTGGAAATGCTAGTTTACAGTTGTGTTTCTCTTTCTTGACTCCTTTTAGACTGTTCTAGTAGTAAGCAGTAAGCCATCCTATAGGTACTTCTTGATCTGTCTTATGTTCAGTTGTGGGCACCTCTCGTGTTCAGTCCACCCTTGTGAAGCAGGAGGCTTAAACATGCTGGAAGTGGCTCAGTCCTGCTCAAAGGCTGGGAGGAATTCACAGGCAGGAGGTCTACAGCACCTCTGCCTTGCCCACAGCATCCATTTCCCAAGGCTTTTCCCAGGCACAGGGCAGGGCTGGACAGAGAGCCTGAGGTGGTGCTGCTGCATTTGCTACACAGATTTGCCTTCTGTACAAGACTCTCCTTTCTAGAGAAGAGAGCATGCAACTTTTTCAGACTGTTGCAGACTTCCAAGTCTTCTTTTTCCTCCTTCAGATTATGTGCCATAACATGGATTTGCCCGATATACTGTAACTCTCTTTCGTGCAAGACACCAAAATTTTATCTCAATTCTTTCTCTTCCCCCTTTTTAATTTGCTTTCTTTGCATTCGAGACATTTCAAATAGAACGTTTTGTCTTTCCTTTTGGTTTTCTTGAAGTTGTTTTATTTAAACAAACACTTCTCATAATCTACTCTTAGATTTAAAATTGAATTCTGTAATACAGCAAAATAAGCTCTTTAAACAAAAGAAGTGGCCAAGCACCTGAATCATGTTGCCCTTTTAATGGAAAGCTGCATTCAAAGAGAAGCCAAACGTGAACTGCAGAGCTATTACATGAGCAGCAAGTGACTCTGACTACAGCACTACTGAAACTAAACATTCTGTATCCTTTATTCTTACTTGAAATTCCCAAAGTCCACTAGCTTTAGCCGTAACGGAAAGCAGAGGGGAAAGGAGGGAGAACTACCATATCCATTATCCAAGAAAAATACTATTATCAGGTTAGCATGCATATATTCCTCACTTGTGTTACCTAGTTATAGTTAGTGTGTTTCCTAACGATAATACAAAGTCCATCCCCTTTCACCATGTGTTTTTCAGTACTAATACTGCTTTTCTGTTATGTCCAGGATTTAAACACTAAAGAGAGTGTCAAGGCAATGTCAGTTGCATTTATTTTGGTTTTGGTTTTTTTTTTCCTCTTAAAGTATTGATACGGTTGTGCTTTGTTCGGAGGTAATGAGCTGTAGAATTTTAAAATGTGGGTAGCTGCTTAGAGTAGAAAAAAAAAGAAAGATCAAATTTAAAAATACTTACTTTTCCTCAAAAAGATATTGCAACCTTACAATAACTATATAAAGTGCCCGGTTCAATGGAATACTGATTTTTCTCAGTGTGTATAACTATTTTGACATGCAATATGATAATCTGTCATAGTAAAAACGCTTTTTCCAAAAGCTTCTTACGGAGTGGAGCCTTTTGGAAATCTTTTGCTTTGAATGTTCTTGACCAAAACCTCTCAGGAGTTGAGGTTATTTTCCTAACTGTTTAAAAAAGAGCTTTATCCCTGGCAAAGTTTGGTTAATAGAATGGGCAGTGAATAGAACTTGATTCCTCAGCATTATTCTTTCTGACAGTTGTTTCTCCAGCTAGTGTACCTCGTAAAGCTTAATGGTGGAGAAGACTTTTCTCATTTCCTAGACAAAGGTGTTACTGAAACTAGAAATACAAACTTTAAAATTATTTTTCTGAATATGCTTATCAAAGTTGTTTCCAAATCTGACCCCTGCAGTGAAAATTAAGTAAGAACCATTCACATGCAAAAGCTTCCTCTGTTAAGCACCTGTTGTACACTTGTCTATTCCACTTTTAATATTAAGCCATTTCTATTATTCCATTGATTTCCTTCATCCTTTGGACAATGATTTGCAATACATTAGTTCATGTGAGGAGAGAAAAAATAAAGAAAATGAAAGAAGGTCCTCTAGACCATGGGTTTGGTCAGGCTTCAATTGTACTATGGAAAATATTGAGTCTGTTACTTTTTGAAGATAAATGTTTTTCTGAACACTGGTCTGCCAGATATATATTTAGGCTCGCTGTAACTCAGCAAAATTTATTTGCAGTAAATGCTTATTTGCCTGATTTGTGTTCCAGTGGAATCTCTTCTTCTGCATCTTTCCTTTGAATACTTGATTAAAAAGAAATATGTGAAAGTTTCAAAATGCTACGTGGGTACAGATAGCTGCACATCTTACACTTGGGTGTGTGGTTTTTAGATTAGGAAGAGCAGAAAATCCAAGACAGACTTCAGCTGCACCTGTAAAAATAAAAATGTTACTTCCCTATGAAACTGCACTGCTGTATTTTTCTGTGGTAAGAGGATCCCATCCTCTTATGCTTTCCGCTGGCATTATCCACTCTGGAGAGAAAAATGCATGACAGCCTCAAAATGGCGTTCTCTGTGAGGGAAAGGCAAAGACGAAAGCCAGAACAACATAGCAGTTCCAGCACAAAATGGCCTTTTCCTATAAATTTCTTAGACTGATCAAGGTTTTGGCTATTAGCTGGCCAGTAAAAGCTGAACAGTAATACAGTAAATCTGATATTCCTATAAAAATCTTTCCCTGTATGTATGGGATACCCATTTGACATATGAGCATGTGTATAAGTACAGTATTAAAGCAAAATTGTGTTTTGCAAGTCCCCACAATGCTTTCCGCTCTGTGCTGAAAACTCATAGCACTGCCAGCTGAATGCTGGAACAACGTTTTGGTCTGTGTGTGAAGTGCTTCATTAGAGGAAATCCGTAATCTTCATGTGAGTCTCCATAGTTGTTTCAGGTCTAGTACAGAAACAAGCTCTTACACTCAGGTAGTCACAGAGCAGTTAGTTGTAGGTGTCCTCCGAATGTTATCGATGAGTTGTTACGATGCTGTTGAAGGGATAAATTACTGCTGATGTAGTGTTGTTATGATCAACTTCTTTCATTTAGTTTATGCTGTATTTTAGATATATTAATATTTTTAAAAGACATGTTTATTTGCATAGCTAGGGAAAAAAAAAAGTCAGTCCTGAACCATGTCTTCAGTGATTTTCCTGTTAGGATTCAAATGTAACCCTTTGTTAGTAATCTTTAGGCTGTATTATTGTGATTTCTATTGAACAGTATTAATATAAAATTAAAATTAATTTACAGTGTTATAGTATTCATACTTAGTTGGCTGTTCTAACATGAGGCCATAAATGCATACATACACATACATGTCTATCTTGAGTATAGGTCTAGCATATTGCACACAGCACACATGCAGAAGAGATGAAGTACGAGATTTTGTTAAAATGGTTGTTGAGGGAAGGGGGAATCGTTTTAATTTTATTACAAATAAATGGAGGAAGGCCTTGGATGACAACTCTGATTTTGGTATTTGGCTTCAAAAGTTTTTAAGAAGCAGATGCATTTCTAATTGAGTCAGGGAGGGTTCCCTATTTCAGCCCAAGTCTCACTGTCCTGTTGCCACGAGGAAAAAAAAAATCTCTGTCTTTTTTCCCCTGCGCAGTTTTCTGATTAAGTTACTTGTTTGCACTAGAAAAAAACACTGTGCAGTTCTCTTGAAATTTTTGGTGAACCAATGAAAATTTATTGCATTACATTTCTGTTGATAACATTTTCTGGAATTACAAATTTAAGCGTTGACCTTTTAACATTTCAGTATTTTGATCATCCATCTAACGTCTCCAGAAAAACACATTTATGCCCTAGGAAAAAATGGTTAAATTTGAAACTTGAAATTTCCATGGCTTAGTCACTGATATCCCCTGGGAATTTTTAGTATTCTGAAAAGGAAGTGTTTTTAAGCAACTGAAAACCATAGTTCACTGAATAAATCTTGAAGCAGTTTTTCATGACTCCCCCCCCCCGCCTTTTTTTTTGTGATGCCAGTGTTACCATTCATATTGTACTTTAATAAGTGTAGACAGCATAGTAAAAGCTCCTTTGAATGTTTTCTTTATAACAGTATTTGTATTGGTTTTGTCAGGTTGTAATAAATGTCATTAAAATAACCTTTATTAAATTACAGCATGCATTTTATCTGCATAGATGCTGATTCGTCTTTTGAAAAGCCGAACGGGAAATTATAAAAACAAGATTTTTGCAGTAGACTTATGATTTGCTAGCAACACTGAAATGACTCTGTCTTTAAAAACATTTTACATGCCATGTAATGTAAAGGCAATTAAGACTGAAAGGTCTCTCCTTTCAGAAACGATTCCTTTCAGAGCACAATGCTCTGAGTTTCGGCCTTGCTGGTGCTGCTGCTTCTACTTCGGAATCCCAAAGCTGTATCCCCACCACTGCAGCTGCTGGTATTGGAGTGAGTTTAAACTTCTGATGCACGCTACTTAATGCTGTGCCTGGTTTGCAGCCTGTATTTGGAAATGGGGCAGTTGTCCCTTCAAATTTGCTAGCATCCTTTCTGCGTATTCTGTCATTTCTGTCAAATGTGAAATGTGTGTGTATAGAACACGGAATGCTTAAATATATCTCTCTGTAGGAATACATCTTTTTGGACAAAGGAAATGCGGAATCATGTGTGTGTGACATTTTGTTTACTAAAACTGAAAAGTAGCAGAATACTGTTAAAGCTGAATATGTAAATTTAGACATCCCTTCAAAATGTAAGAAATTTAATAATGCAAGTCTGACAACTTTAGTAAGTATGACAGACAGAAAGAAAAAACTCAAATGATTCCCTGGAAGACAGTTCATGGAACACAGATTCTTTGAAGTACTAAACTGAAGATGGTGTTCTTTTTTTCACAACTGCAACTGATACAAAGAATGTAGAAGCCTGTATTATCTGTCCAGATAAATAAATGTATACTTTCAGTAGGTTCATTATTCTCTTGACATTATACTTTAGGATAATAAAAATGGTGTGTCAATATTGTTCATGTTAGGTTGGTTGGTTGTTTTGGGGATTTTTTTTTTTCAGGAAGAGAGAGTTATATTTGCCAATATACTCTGTGACAGGCTGAGATTCCGGCGATATTTTAGATAGCCAAGTTAGATTGACCAATCTAAAATGCACCTTATAAACTACGTATTTTAGCTTTAATGGGATAAAAATAAATGCTAACTTGAACTGTAAAATGGAAGTTGGCAACATAAAATAGATATGATACTAATATTCAGCTCATAAACAGATTGTGTGTTTGTGAATTCTGTATCTATAACCATTTTGGGTTAAGTCTCAGTGTGTAATTGCAACTATGCTGCGACAGTTACTGTGATGGAGATCCCTTTTTGTTTTCTTAGAATTTATCCAAATTTTTTTTTTGCCTTTATTAACATTTCACTACCAAAAAAAATCACTAAGGAATTTCTGTTGTATTCCCCCCCCACACACACACACCCCTTGAAATTAACTTTGTTCAGGATCGTAGTGCTCTGCTGTAGTTAAAAAAATAGATGCTTTTAATACCAGAGAACTTGGCCACTGAACAACTCTTGACCAGTTTAAAAGCCTTTAAGTAATTCACAATATAAAGGTATTTTAGTCCCCTTTTAGACCTAAGAAATGTTAAGTTTTCATTACAGGTTTCATCGTGTACATTTGCTTGATTTTTGCAGCTTAGCATTCTCTAAAAATGCACTTTTTTTTTTTTCCAGTGTAGTATTTAGCTTTTTAGATTTTTTTTTTTTTTTTTTTTACATCTTCCTCTTCTATAATTTTTCCCTTCCAGTAGCTATTTCTGCGAGGCATCCCATTTTAACTAGACGTGCGCACTGAAATAAGGGGAGGGCTGTGTTTTAAAATCCAGTGGCTTGTTTTAACTCAGTGCTCTAGTGATACCCGGAGAAAAGTACTGCCAAAGGAGAGTATTTACAGCAGGAGAACTAGAAATGCCAGTCACTGCTGAAGGTACAGAAATACGGGATGGTAAAAATGTCTCTGATGCTTTAGCTTTAGTGAGCCTTGCCGGTAAGTACCCAGCGTCTCCCCCGCCCCTAGGCAGGGGTGGACGTGCTGCTGAGGGGAAAGGCAGCAGCTTCTCCTCTTCTCTGGTCGTTATGAAACTGTTGCTGCCACTTTCCTGACTGTTCGGCGAGCTGGTGGCTGCCGCAGCCAAGAGCTGGCTCCAGCAGGGAGGACTGAGGCTGGTGGGGCCGCCGCTCACCTGCAGCTGGTAGGAGCGGGGCCGGGGCGAGGCCGAGGCCGAGGCCGGGACGGTGGCACCTGTGGCGGGCAGGGCCTGGCCGGTCCGGGCGGTGAAGGGATAAGCGGCTTGTCGTGGGCTAGCAGGGAAGAACGAGAGACAGTGCTCCAGTGTGGAGCTGCATTGTCTGTTCTCAGCGTGAGAAATAAATTACAGTCTGTCAGAGCATGACTTAACAGTGCCAGGGGAAACTGGCTGCATGGTAAAGTTTAGTTACGTTTTCACTAAAATGAAACGGTGGTGTTTTAGCAGCGGAGGAAAGCTTGATTTTCATCTGGCCGTAAAACCAGACGTGAGTATTGCTTAGTTTCCAGCTTGCACCTCCTTCACAAATACGTATTTGCAGTTCAGTTATTCTCCAGGAACTTTGCAGTGTATTTGTGATAAATAAGTAAAGCCAGTAAATAAGATCCTGTCTTGGGCTTTGATTTGCTGCTGGTACTGATGCAAATTTTAATCAGTAAGCGTGGTACAGAAGCAAAATATTAATACCATCAGTTTGAAATGTACAGCTCTGTACAGTGAAAAAAGGGAAGAAAAACAGTTGCAAGATAAATAAAACAGTATCAGTGCACCCTTAAAAAACCTGCTAATGCAGTGCACTGTTTAATCCTACTTTCTTAATAAAAAAAAAATAATTGTAAAACAAAACACTTATGCTACTGCAGTTTCATTTGTTGATGCCAGTTCAATGCCAAGTTTGCTATAAAGCATTACAGTTAAAATACAGTGTACTGAAGGAATTGGTTTTGAAAAATGCTTCATTATGTTTTGAGAGGAAGAATGTGGAAATATATCCTTGGTCAGCTTGCCTTTACAGTTCAAATTACTTCAAAATTGTCTTTATTTGATATTTAAATCTTCCCCTCCTCCCCCCCCCCCCAATTTAATATGACACTGATCCATCAGAATTAATGTTATTCAACAGAATAGGACTTTTCCGAGTAAGCTGTGCAATGTGCAGTTACCATCCTTCCTATGAAATATACACCAGCTATAATCCCACAGAGCACCTTTGGTCCCTTTAGGGAACGATAGATGAGACTGCTTTGCTTTTTATATATATATATATAATATATATATATATATATGTTTAATTATTACTATTTTTAATCCCTGGAGAGTGGCTTTAAAAAGAAATGCTCTCTATGTTAAGTAAAGCTATTCTTGGTGATCTTTCTTATAGCATATACTGGAATTATTTTAATGATACAATTAAAAAAAAAAATCCCAAAATATGATTTAAAACTTTTCTGGATACCTTAAACCCAAAAAAAAGAAATATAAATTATTGGATTATTTTTTAATTTTTTAAATCTGTACCAAATCTTTTTTCATTAAACATTTCTGGCTGTTGTTAGATTAGAAACCATCCCTTATTGAAAACTTGTATTATTTAGACAGAAAAAAATCGCTATCTGTTTAGAGCTGACCTCAGTGTTGATGTCAGTACCGCACAAAACTGAGATGAAAGAACAAGAGATACCACTTTGAGTTAAAATACAAGCAAATAAATTAGTGTATAGTAGGAGTATCTGTAATGAGTTTCCAATAGACAGAACTTGTGATAAGGGGAAAGAGAGAGGTTGTAAAATTATGTAATAGTATAAACTGTGGTGTGAAAATATTGGCTTACTACTATGTACATGATTTGACTTATTCAGGCATGATGAATCTTAAAATAATTCCTCCACTTCCCTTTTTGGAATTCTATTTCTATTACATGAAGCTTACAAGTTGGGCTTCATGTAATTGTATTCCTCTTTCCTGAATCCGTATTTTTTAGTACTGTGGTAACCTAAAGTTAGACGACTTTAAATCTTATTTTACGAGTATGGTGACAGATATAATGCATTTATATATCTCTCCAAAGAAAGATAATTTTCATTGCATGAATCTAAGCCATTATTCTGTAAAGGCAATGCACTTTTAACCCTCCAAATGCACCAGAATTAGCCCACTTATGAAACAGGCAAAAGCAGAGTTGAGACTCAGCTGCTTCCACATCTACACAAAAAGTGAGAAAGGAAAGGATAAGTATGGAGAGTAAAGAACAAGAAGGTCTGTATTTTTATATAGAAAGTACAAAAATAAATAAGGAGCTAAAAATAGTGGCTAAAAAAAAGGAGGGAAAGTCATTCAGAAAACAGATTAAATGCAAGTAAAACACTATCAACTAAACTATTCATATACTTGAATCTGATCCTTTCCTAAAAAAAACAGGTCTGTCTTTTATATTATATGGGCATTAAAGTTGTTGAATGCGTTTCTGCATATAATCTTTTTTTTTTTTTTATCTCCAGTGTAGGGTAAACATTCTCATCTGTGCATGTTCTGTTAAAATAAATATCGGGAATGTCATGCCATTATTTTTAAACAAAAATGGTGAGAGTTTTAACTGGACATTGTGGCTGTCTGCTGCAAAGTATGTTATCCAGAAACTGCAAAATTGCTTTTACTTTTTAACCACCCACAATTTATGCACACACATCCTCTGCATCCAACAGTCTGTATGCAAGAGATACCAGAGTTATTAGAAGAGGTCAGAATTACTTGATGTCATTTTACCGAAATAAAAATTTGTGGGAAAGATACAGTTTAAATATCTTGTCAGCTATGTCCTGGTAATCTCTAATGTGCTTTTACTACAACTCCCTAAAAATAAATATTAAAAACATTTTGTGGTTTCACACCATTAAAAAAAAAAAAAAAGTTGGTAGGGGTAAACCATAAAACATATATTTGGCTTACAAAAGAAATGTTTATTCTCCTCAGAATGCCAGTGGTTGAGCATTTTCTTGAGATTTGAGGCTGGGTAAAATGTGTAGCAGAGGTTCCTTAAATATGCCACTGCAGCAGTCATTCACGATGTGGCACAGCCAGCCAGTTCTGAGAAACCCACATGTGCCGCCCTGTACTTTCTAGACTTGGCTAATATTGTGCATTTTAATAGAGCAAATGTGATTAAAGTCAGGCCTGAAAACGGAGATGGGTTTTCATATACTCGGTAGAAAGTATGTTCCATCCAGTACAGTATATACTATTCTTGATAGTGCTTGCTTTTGCCAGTCTTACCAGTTAGGCAGAGTACATACAGCTCCTGGAACAGCTGTATTACAAGCTATAATGTAAATTGTATGAAGTCTTTGTCACTATCATAACCACAGCAGATTGTTTAAATACTGCCTTCAAAAAATCGTGTGAGTTTGTGAGAGAAGGAAATACATCTTAGAAAAAAATCTGTGACTCTGAAGACCCCTGCTCCATTTTGCAGGATAGTATATTTTTAAGCTGAAGGTTGGAGAGCAGCCTCTTTGGATGGGATCTGAGAGTTGCAAGGGATAGAAACTCACAAATACCAGTTTTCTTTTTCCATTGCAATTTTTTTCCTATCAGCCCATGATCAATATTTAGAGGAATAAGATATCAATTAGTATCCTTTTTTCTTTTATTTTTTTGTCCTGAAGAGTATTTTACAAAGTCTTAGAAACACACAGTGTTGACTTTTCCAGTTAGTTGAAACTGCCTAGCTGCTTTAAAAATACATCAGGAAAGCAGTGATAGCATAAGCAAAATAAATATTAAATGAGAGAGACAACTATCACTTTCCTTAAGTATCCACGTAATCCTTTTTTTCTTATGGTAACATATTTTCCACAAAGAAGACTCTTCAAGGTTGGATCCTGTACAGTCTCCTTCCCCCCTCCCCCCCCCCTTCTCTTTCCCTTCCCTCCCCATGTAGGGCAAATCAAATGCTTGACAACGTTTTTTGTTAGGAAAGCACATTAAAAAAATGTTTTTTGAATATACCAATAACAGAAAAAGTATATATATTTTTATTGCAAGAAGGAGATTTCATTGGTTGAATGAAATGGCGAGATGTGACGCAAAAGGACACTTGGACGGGTAGAAATGCTGATGTATGCCAAAGCAGGCGTACCAAGAAATGCTGTTGCTATGAGAGAAACAGAGGGAGAGAGAGGGAGAGGGAGAGAGAGATCGTGAGAGAGCAAGTTGTGGAGGCCTTATTTTTTTCCTCTTTAGCTTCTAGCAGTGAGACTGCAACATCTTCCCTTTCTAGCAGGGAGGGTTTAGAGCCTTTCAGTGGGTATTTTCATTAGACCAAGCATGTAGAAGAGGGGAGGAAGGCGAGAGAGATGCAGGTCACCTTAGAGTACAAAAGCAATTGGAAAGTAGGAGGCTGCATATACTAAGCCAATGATCTGTGCTATGATAGATATACAAATTAGTACGACAGATGAAGCGGCTTAGCTCATTATCCACCTGATGGTATTACGACTTACAGTTCAAAATTACAAAATTAAAATGCACATGCACACAGACACAGACAGACATATATTTATAATGACCCCACCTTTTCAGCTTATGAATTATCCAGCTGGGATACCGACGTCTCTTGTGTAACATTCTTAAAGAGCTGCAATAAATTCACCTTGTGAGTCCATTAGCCAGAGAATGGAGGGGGAAATAATTTGCAGGGATTTTTTTTTTTTTTGTCTCTCTTCTTCGGCAAGGGGGAAAAAAGTTTGTGCTATGAACTTAGCCTAGCAGCTTCTGGAACGTGAGCCAAAAGGGGCAGGAAGTTGTTTTACAATAGCGTTACAGTGATCTGCCACAAATGGAAAAAGCCAAATGTTAGAGTCGGCAAAGAGAAAAAACATCCTTCTCCCCCTCATTTCCCTCCTTTTGCCCCTGAAGAGAGAAAAAGAGAAAGGAACATCGAGCTAGAAGTTCTTTTTCTTTTTTAATTACTTCTTGTAAGTAATGGAAAGATTATCTTACTTGCATATTCCATGGCAAGCATGAGAGAAAGAAGTATCAAAGGGACGTTTGAAAAAATGCACTTGGTAACTAGCAACGGGACTTTTGGCACAATTCCTTGAGTTTGCTTGAGGTTATGGAGGGGGATGGGAAGAAGAAAAGCAAGTCTACACAGTACGTTTTCTTTAAAAGAGGGGAGGGGGAACAGAGGAGAAACTATATAAAAACTTTTTTTTATAAAAAAAAAAAAGGAAATGTGTGTTGATCCTCTGAAGCTGAATCCTCAGGCATTTGTGGCCCGTCTTTGCAGCCCGATATGTTTTTTTGTGAGTGTGTGTAAGCGCTCTCAATCAAACAGCAATCATGGCAGCTGTTTTTCTTCCAGCACAGCAGTTGAGCTGTCTCGCCCAAATGCTTATCAGCTTTTGACTCGGTGCCAAGATAGTTATAAGGGCCAAGCAGCCTGAGCTTGGCTGTGCAGCTGGTTTAGAAGTAAGGGCATGAGAAAACAAAATCACCGAGGTTTTTTGTCACATGCAGTATTTACTTTTTCAAAGATTCATTTGCTGCTCTGTGGGTTTGGGGTTGTGTGGTTGGTTTGGGGTTTTGTGTGTGTGTGTGTGCACTGCAGTTCCGTGGTCCTTGTGGACTGCTTCACTACAGAGAGGGGTCTAGGTGCGTATACATATAAAGGGGAGCTCTTCTCTCTGTTTTAATCCCGGAAGATATTTCCGTTGGACGTGTCCGTCCCGTGTCCGTCCCCCCCCAGTTAAAAGCTCCATTAGCCGCACTGCGCTGTCAACCGTGCTGCCATTGCGTGGGTGCATTGACATTCCAGCGCAGCCCCTTTCCTCCCAGTTGCTCTTTTCCTCCCTGGGTCTCATCCTAAACTCCGGGGGAGGGAAGGGAGGTGGTGCCCCTGCATGGGCGCTCGGTTCCCTCCGCTGTGCTTGCCTCCCTCTGTGCCTGCTGCGTATGATGGAAACGAGCCTGCTCACGCAGGGCCGTGCCTCTCTTTCATCATCAGCTCTAGCCCTCTGCGTTTAGCTAGCTCACGTCCTCCTCCTCCTCTTCCTTAGCCAGATTGCTCCAGTCGCTCACAAGGGGGAGGCTGGGCTCTGGAAAGGGAAAAAAAAAAAAAAAAGAAGGTTGCTGCTGCTGCTGCTCGCATTCCTGCTGCAAGGGCCTCCCCTTCAGACGGCCTTTGCCAGAGCACAACTTTTGAAAACACTGCGAATAGGAGCGCCTTTTTTTTTTTTTTTTATTTCCCCTCTTCTTTATTTAACCCTCCTCTTCCACCGTTTTAGAATGGAGCTCGTTTTCCGTCTCTCCTGCGCTGTGCTCGGCTCCACTGTATATCGCAATGCTGAGGTTAAAGCGCCAAGTATTTTCCCCTCCGCTGATCCTTTTTTCTATTTCCCCTCTCTCTCTCTTCCCTCCGTTAAAGGAATTGATTTCTTTGACCGAGCAATGAATCGGGCTTTGCTAGTTTGTATGCTGCGAGAATGAAGGCTTTTATTTGTGATTTTCCTCCCCCGAGTATCAGTGCACAGTGCTGCTTATGGTACAAGCCTCTCACTGTGGCTGGCTTTCTCTTTAATACAAATATTTTTAATGGCTTTAGGTATCTGCGCCATGTGAAATAGTGTGGATGATATCCCTCCAAACCCCTTGTAATCTGACCATGTCTGAAATGGAAATATGGGGGGGGGGGGGGGATAGGGTTGTTTCGTCCTTGCAAACCTCTCCCCCCTCTTTCTCTGCTGAGGAGGGAAAAGGGGATGTGCAGTAAAATGCCGTCTCTGGGACAGGTGCCAGCTCCTAGACAAAAGAAGTAAAATAGGCGGTAAAGGGGGAGTCGGGGGGGGGGGGGGGGGGGAATTAATAGCCAACGAAAATAGGAATTGAAAGTCTCCGAGAGGCTGCGCTGGCGAAAGTGATGGTGCCTGACTGGCCTTTTTGCTGAATATTTGCTTAGCGATGGGTGGAAAGGAGAAAGTTGCGGCATACTTTTTATTCTCGTCTTCTCTGCAGGCGTTCGGCAGCGTGAAGGAAGGGTGGAGGGTGCCTTCTTTCTTTCTTTCTTTTTTTTTTTTCCTCCTCTCTTCTTCTTTTCCCTCCTTTCTACTGAATTATTCATAGTGTCAGTGGTGAAGCCAGGACTATTAGCATGCATCAGACATGCTGTTTGTCTGTTTGCTAACATTCTTCATTCAAGACTTGTTAACTACCAGACAAGCTTAACACGCTTCTTTTTTCCCCCTCCCCTCCTCTCCTCTCTTCCTCCGTCTCTCTCTCTCTCTTCGCCTTCCCTCCCTCCTTCCCTCCCTCCCCTCGCCCCTTCCCTTCCTTTCCCTTCCTTTCCTTTCCCTTCCCTTCCCTCGCAGCCGCCCATTGTTGCCGCCGGGCGCTGGCAGCCGGGGGCAGTTGCGGCCGGAGCGGGCGGAGGAGCGGCCGCCGGTTGCTAGGTAAGGACCGCCTTCCCCTCCTCTCCTAGGCCTGCGTGCACTTGCAAGGGCGAGAAATGCCACAGAGCTCGCTCAGTGCCTTCTGCCTGCTTTTCCAGGAGACTGCAGAGCTGCAAGGTGAACACCAGCACATCGGCGGCTCCCCGGGCTGGCTCCCCACCCTGTACAGGGTAAGCTGCTTTCCCACCGCTTCCCCGTTCCCCCCTTGACGGGTACCCACCAGCATTTCGTGGTTGTGTACCGCTACGATGGCATGAGCTGCCAGTACTTATCAAGTAGGGAAATTAAGTTTCAGAAACTACGTGGGTATCGGCAAATTGGCTCGTGAATGCCTATTAATTTCTGATTAACCAGTAGTACCTTACCAGCCCGGCAAGGTTTAGGCTCATGCAGGGTGATCGCTTGCTGGCTATTAGGGATGTGATATACTAATATTTGCTATTGTTGCTGTTTTTAAGGTTCTCTTCTCCCTCTCTATCAAGTCTGCCCCTCCCTTCGCTAGTCTGTTTAAAAGCAGCAAGCTTCATTTTCTTAGCAGACAAAGGTCGATCACAGCTTTTATTTCTGAATGCAAATGTTCTAGGACTTGTGCCAGTCTTGCCTTCATTGATTACAATATAGCTTCTTTCTTCAGTGGCATTTTCCCCTTCCTTCCCCCCCTCCCCCCCCCTTTTTTCCCCCTGTATTTTATTTTAAATAGAAGGAAGCGCAGGAAAAGAAAGTTGGGTGGTGCAAGTTTTTATATTTATTTAATATTTCACTATGTTTGAAACATCCATGTGCAGAGCAGCTCTAATGCAGCTGGTATCAAGTACATAGGGATTTATGCAATTTGTGTGTGTATACACAAGGGTATGTGTTCTCATTGCTCAACTAATATTTTTTAAGGTAACTATGTGATGATCTTTAGTAATTGTATCGCATTACACTTTCCTGATTGTATTAGCAATGTGAATTCGGGCATAAATATTTTCAGGGTTCATATAGAAGAATTATAATACCTATCATTGCTCAGGATTACTTTATAATGAACATTTTTTTGTCATGTATTTTTAGAATACTATTTTTCATGGCCTTTAAAGGTCTTTAAGGGCCAAAAGTGCGTTTTCTTCTTTATCTTTTACGTGCGCGCACGGGCACATGCTCACACACACTCCCACTCTCTTTCTCTTGCTCTTTGGGTGTTAAGGAAGGAATTTATTTTAAGTATAATACTTAAATATTAGAATAATGCCATTTATAGATCAAAGTAGCATGTGGATGTGGATATACTGAGTTAGGCACAATTTGGCAGTTAGTTGTACACTTAAGATTTATTACTACTATGAAATTGCCAGACCTATTGCAATACTTACTTTGTATTCTTTATATAGACAAGTGCATGTGCAAATTAAAGTATCTGGAAATAAAAAATTTTTGAAGACACTTTATGAGGAAACTAGACTTTTCATATGTATTTGTAAAACAAAATGCTTTCCTCTACTCTGAAAAAAGGGAATGTTTTTGTAAAATATTCTTTTCCCTTGAATTTTATTTATAATCCAGGAATTAAATTAAATATCAAAACAAATCCAGATAAGTTTGGTTGTTTGTGGTTGGTTTTTTGTTTTTTGGTTGTTTTTTTTTTTGTTTGGTTGTTTGGGTTTTTTGTTTTTTTCTCCATTTTAAAAAAAAAACAAAACACAAAACCAAACCTTCAAACCTTCAAAAATAATTAGGAAATACCTAGTGACTGGTACCAAAATAGTTTTTAAACTCGGGCCATTGACAGCATTGTCTCAAACCCATCTCCGTATTGGCAATGCATTTGAACTGTTTTATGGCAACATAAACTGAAAAACAACTCATAACTTTAAGTAGTAAAGCAGTATTTATTGGCTGATCAAGCTCAAAGTAAGTAAAGAATGTTTTAGTGAACTCTGTAGATTAAGAAGGGACTTCAGGATCGTATGGCTTGGTGATAGCTGAAATTATTTTCTTCAAAGTGATTTTTGGAGGCCTTTAGTAGCTGCACAGTACAAGGCAAATAAACTATTAGTTGAGGATTCTAACTTGTAGTTACTGGTATAAAATCATAAACAGATTTCAGAGTATATTTTTTATTGGTATAAAATCACAGAGATTTTGGAGTACTCAGTGATACTGCTTCCCTAATGATGCTGTTTAGATAAAGAGGAGATACTCTTTTTTCTTAAGTTGCAGTGCTTGTTGGAGTTGTTTTGTTGCTGAGGACTAGCACTTAAAGGAATATAAAATTGCTTCAGGTGTATTAGTTCATTATCTTGTGGTGGCTTGCTGGAAATGGTGGCTGTGAAAGTAAAAGAAGCAGAATTACCTTATTATTGGTTTATTTCACAGTGAGGATTTCTGTAAGCATGTTGAAAATGAACATAGTGCATAAAGATCACGTGTGTGTTAATTGAGGAAGGAAGGATTAAAATCTGTTCATTAGATTGGTGAATTCCAGGTTTTAAATTTAGAATTGGTTTTAGTCTGTAACTTGAAATATAGCTGCTGATAGAAACATTCAGATGAATGCCTTCAGGAATTATGCACGTGAGCTCGAGCATTTACATTTTGAAAGTGTTTGGTGTGGGATTGCCAAGATTCTCATACAAAATGTTTGGTGCATGGAATGAAAAATTAAAAGCATAATCTTTCTCCCTCACCCACATCTTCCAAATGGATTTTTGTCCTCCAAAAGGATATTTAAGGTGTTGCTGAGAAATGAACAGTAGATTCTTAACCTCCCACCTATCTTGACTAAAAATATGGATTTTACCAAAAAATACTAACTCAGAGAAAGAGGGAAGCATGAGGGAAAGGTGCATATGTTCTAGGCCTGTGAGTAATACACAGTGCTCAACAGAGAGCAGTGTTACATGCAAGGCAGAGAGCAGCATCTTACACAAATAGGTGGGTTACGATGTGATAGTTACTTTCAGAAATAATAAATGGGATGCATGGCCTCCTTATTCAGGTTAAACTTTTTGAAAGTAATTGGAATTTTGCCTGGATGATGCTGCCAGCTTTGGGTCAGGTTAAGGGAGATTTTATTGTGGGTAAAGGAGAGGGGAAAAAAAGAGGAGGTGGAGAGAAGAAAGGGAAAGGGGATGGAGCAGGAGTTACCACTTTCAGATGTGGGTGCAGTCTGGAGTTCTCATCTTCACTGAATATAGAAGGTAACTTAAGACTGTGAGGCTGGATTATATTTTGTATGTCTGTATTAGTACAGCACTGCCTTCTTGTATGTGCTAAGTATTCGTAAACATTTTGTAACAGGTAAAGAGAAAGGAGGAGTGGAAGGAATGCCTTGTTTCATCCAGTTTACTTTGGGGATTTTATTTTTTTTTACTTTTGGGAGGGGGGTGCTGGTGTAATTCAGTGTTTCAGCAGCTCTCTTGAAGGCAGAATGGTTTCACTGTAATCAGCCTTCACCCATGTGCCACATGGCATTACAAACCTCTGCAGGGCCTTGCACCTTGTACGGCAGCATTCAAAGTCTTCTATGCACATGGGTGCTCAGGGCATGGGCAGGCCTGTGATTGTGATACCTTCCCTCAAGCAAATGGAAATAGGCTTGAATTAGGAATTCCTCCTCAAACAGCATCAGTTGCACTCAGCTTGAAACTGGTGCAAGTAATCAGCCCTCCCACCCTCTCCCCCTGCAGTGGCAGTTATTGTGGAGGGCTAATACGTATATATAAATAATAAAGCAACGCTGCCATGCAGTTTTGATTTTGATTTATGGCTGAATGTGTCTGAGAAGAAAAAAAACTAATTTAGAAATATGACTGCGCGTCTTTGTTTCTCAGATAAGATATACTGTAGAACATGTTTCTTCATAGCTACATACGTGTTCATATAGCATGTTTGCTTTTACAATGCATTTGATTTTTGCAAAGATTGGTATTAATTTATTCAGTGTGTTTGCAGCTAGTTAGACTTCTGATTGCAGCCAGAAGACGGGAAGTTGAAATCCCTGTGGCCAGCACAATAGACGTTCATAAGTAGAGTGATCCCAGTAGATATAAAATGGCGGGGTAGATGTTTTCAGTGCACCTATACTTCTGCAGGTCCTGAGTTAATACTGCTGTAAATGGTGTTGTGTAAATCCGTACTTGTTTATTCATTTGACTCCATGCCTCATCCACAATAGGAAGAATTCTGTTGAGTTTGATGGACTTTGGAGCAATCCTCCCCTACTCGCATAGTCACTAACGTAGCGTGTATGCACATTTGTGGAATTGCTAATAAATGTGCCCTGTAACTTCTTGCTAGAGAGCAAACCAATCTGTGATTTTCCTAGGAATGATGCAGAAATACGTCCACAGGTGTTCCAGCCCTCACGTAGAATGTGTTAAATCTGCTAGTGAGCCCAATAATAGTAGGATTTCATTAAAATTTTACTTATGATCTCCAAAATAGCACATAATTCTGTTTAAGATACCTTGATTTATAGGTAGGTATGAAGGAATAAAATGCCTGGAATCAGGCCCTTTGTAGCCTGTCTTTTAAAAAAGATATGCTGTCAAATGTGAGGTCTCATCATTTTGAGTTGCCCTTTGTAAAAAGGTCTTTTTTCACAGAAGATTAGTGTTACCACTTATTTAGTAGTTGTGCACTCTTCCTTCTTGCATACATTTGAAATTTCCTATGCCATACCTCTGGAAACAAAGGATCTGATCCAAAGGCCTCTGAAGGCGATGGGGATTTTTCCATTGACTTCAAATGGGATTTGGATTAAGCATATATACATAATAGTTTGCAATAATGATCTGACTGCTATAGTGGTTTTCAGGGCCTGCCATTAAAACTTCATAAAACTCGCAGAAATTGTGCAGGCATAATACTTCAAAATACATGTCTAAGCATTGATCATGTTCTGCTGGTTTTTCTTTTTCTTCTGAATTTTTTTTTTTTTTTTTTTTTAAAAAGGTGTATGGGGGAGGGCTCTAAAGAGCTTCATCTCACTGATGCTCCAAATCAGTTTTATGAATAAAAAAAGAGTGAATGTGGCTTCCATATTTGGTATGTAATTGACGCATTACCTTATACATTCTTTATTTAAATTAGGGCAGTCTTTTTAGAAGAAGTCTATAGATTTAGAATGGCAATGTACCACTTATTTATTTTTACACACATAAGTTTAAATTAGCCTCAATTGTCT